TCAAAATGACCCCAAACCATCAAAGGTTCTTCCAGTTGACCAACTGGTCACCAGTAATGGTCAATTTAGATGGAAATGACCCCAAACCATCAAAGACTCTCCCAGTTGACCAACTGGTCAACAGGGATGGTCAATTTAGATGGAAATGACCCCAAACCATTAAAGACTCTTCCAGTTGACCAACTGGTCAACAGGGATGATCATTTTGGGTAGAAACCACCCAAACCCATCAAAGCCTCTCCCAGTTGACCAACTGGTCAACAGGGATGATCATTTTGGGTAGAAACCACCCAAAACCAAGAAAGGCTCTTCCAGTTGACCAACTGGTCAACATCAATGGTCATTTTGGGTAGAAACCACCCAAACCCATCAAAGGCTCTTCCAGTTGACCAACTGGTCAACAGGGATGATCATTTTGGGTAGAAACCACCCAAACCCATCAAAGACTCTCCCAGTTGACCAACTGGTCAACACCAACGGTCATTTTGGGTAGAAACCACCCAAACCCATCAGAGACTCTCCCAGTTGACCAACTGGTCAACACCAACGGTCATTTTGGGTAGAAACCACCCAAACCCATCAAAGATTCTCCCAGTTGACCAAGTGGTCAACGCTAATGGTCAATCTGTGTCCAAATGACCCCAAACCATGAAAGACTCTTCCAGTTGACCAACTGGTCAACAAGGATGATCATTTTGGTCACAAATGACCCCAAACCCATTAAAGCCTCTCCCAGTTGACCGACCCACCCCCTCTTTCCCCCGGCAGACGACCAGGCGGGCGGGGCGGGCGGCACCGAGGTGCAGGTGGAGACGGCGCCGCCGCTCTTCGCCGACGTCTTCGAGGACAAGGCGGCCAAGCTGACGTGCCGGGTGGCCAACCTGGCGGGCCCCGAGGGGCTGGAGGTGACGTGGCTGCGGGAGGACGGCGAGGCCCTGCCCACCAAGGTGGGGCCGCCGGCCCTGCAGCCCAACGGGCTCTTCGGCGCCGCCGCCGTGGCCTCGGTGAGCGCCGAGGACTGGGAGTCGGGCCGGCCCTTCACCTGCCGGGTGGTGCACCCCGACCTGCTCTTCCCCAGGGAGGTGGCCCTGAAGAAGGAGGCTGGTGAGTCCGTAATTAATTAATTAATTAATTAATCTATTTATTTATCTATTTATCTATCTATTTATTTATTTAATTATTTATCTATTTATTCCTACATTAATTTATTTATAGGTTTATGAATACATTAATTTATTTATCTATTTATTTATCTATTTATTAATTTATCTATTTATTCCTACATTAATTTATTTATAGGTTTATGAATACACTCATTTATTTACCTATTTATTTATTTATTTATTTATCTATTTATTCCTTCATTCATTTATTTATAGGTTTATGAATACACTCATTTATTTATCTATTTATTTATTTATCTATTTATCTATTTATCTATTTATCTATTTATCTATTTATCTATCTATCTATTTATCTATTTATCTATTTATCTATTTATCTATTTATTTATTTATCTATTGATTCCTTCATTCAGTTATTTATAGGTTTATGAATACACTCATTTATTTATCTATTTATCTATTTATCTATTTATTTATTTATCTATTTATTCCTTCATTCATTTATTTATAGGTTCATGGATACACTCATTTATTTATATATTTACGTAATTTTTTAATCTGTTTAGTCATTCTTTTCTTTTATCCACTCATTTATAAATTTATGAGCTCATCCATTAATTTATTGAAATGTTTCTCGTGTTTTTTATATATATTTGTGTGTTTATTTATTTATTTATTCATTCCTTTCTTATATGATCATTTTATTCGTTCGTTTATTTGTAAATTTGTGAATTCATTCATTTATTTAGAAATTAATGTATTTATTTATCTATTTATTCGTTCATTAATTTATATATTTATGTATTTTTCTTGTATTTATTAATATATTTTGTTTATTATTTATTTATTCATTCTTTATATAGTTAAGAATTTATTTATTAATTTCTTATCTATTCATTAATTAATGTATATATTTATATTTTATTGGCCTATATATAATATAAAATATAAAATATATAGAATATAAAATATATAGTATATAATATAAAATATAAAATATAAAATATAAAATATAAAATATATAATATATAATATATAATATATAATATATAATATATAATATAATATTTTATAATATAGTATTATATAATATATAATGTAATTTATTTATTTTATTTATTTACGTATCTATTTATATATAATTAATATATTTACGAATGTATTAATTTATTTATATATTTATTGATTTCTTCATCCATTTATGCATCTATTCATTTCT